ACCAAAAAGATTTGTCAAGAAATGCATCTAAGAAGGTGAGCTACATCAGGTTTTCCTTGGAGAAGCATGTAAAGGAGGGACCATAATTATTATTGTCTTAGTGAAGAAGGATTAAAAAGACAAAACTAACAGTTAAATTACAACTGTTCAGAAGAAGACTTGTTACATTGAGATACATTAAACCAGCATGAGATAGTAGGAAAACATCTACCTGTACTGTAAGATGTGTTACTGTGCGGAAGATGTCCATAGTCGCGACGTAGGTGAACCAACTTGGCATGAGATTGGTTTGAAGTACATCATGGCATATATAGATTTGAAATATAGTTGATGTATTTGAATTTTGTTGCCATATTTTTACTGTGTCATGCTGTGGTTTTACAGTATAACACAGTATTGCTAAAATTCACGAAGGTTCATTCTCAGTATTTGTAGTCCTGAGGTTAGATGAGCTTCATGTGTTTATAGGATCAAACTTCCATACTTGATTGCTAAAAGTTTCGTCCCTGTGGACTGATCTGAAAGAGGGTGAAATATCAGTGGACTTTCAATGGGTGTTAGCTCACCTGAGCATCATGTCGAGTATGTAAATTGGTAAATTAGCGGCTGAGGGAGCTGGGACTGTTTAGTCTGGAGAAGAGGAGGCTCAGGGGCGACCTTATCACTCTCTACAATTACCTGAAAGGAAGTTGTAGGGAGATGGGGGTTGGTCTCTTCTCCTGTGTTATGAATGACAGGACAAGAGGGAATGGCCTGAAGTTATGCACCAGGGGAAATTCAGGTTAGATATCAGGAAGAATTTGTTTACAGAGAGGGTTGTGAGGTATTGGAACAGGCTGCCCAGGGAGGTGCTGGAGTCCCCATCCCTGGAGGTGTTTAAAAACCGTGTGGATTTGGTGTTGAGCAACATGGTTTAGGGACCTTGACAGTGCAGTGTGAATGGTTGGACTCGATGATTTTGAAGGTCTCTTCCAACCAGACGATTCTATGATTCTATAACATTTTTGCAAAAAGTCTGGATACACCTTATGCAATCCCCTGGTGTCCTTTCTGACTTTGGTTTTGACTGGGACTGTGGTTTGACAACTTGAAAATCACTGCAGATGTACTGGGAAGTAGATGCAGAGATCTAGTTTGGGGAATGTTAGCTGTTTGCTTTTGCAGAAGAGGAAAAGGGATGGTGATCCTCCCCACCTAGCACTGAGGTGGTGTGAATTGTAATTGCCATGATTCAGAGCTGGGCAGTTCCAGATGTAAGAGAATAACCTTGCTTAACAGTAAGTGGGCAGGATATGGAAAATTATGGGTCCTGCATAGCTGTAGCTTGGCTGTCTTCCACGTCAGTAGTATTTTGCGTTGCTGTATATGCTGTTAACACCTTGGTATATATGAATAGTGTGGTTACACTATAGCTGCTTGGGGAACTATAACTTTGAACTGTGTAAAGTTTATTCATGTGGTTTGTATGCAGAGGAGTTTTTTTTCTGATGGAAGGTGGGTAATTAGAGAAAGAAAGTATGAAGATAAAAGGCGCAAATGTATGTTTATCTCATCCAGCTGTGCAGTTAGCTTACCTGCTTTTTGGTTATATGGTACCATGAATAGGATGTGAAAGTAATGTGGAAGATATCTCAGCAGGGGGGTTTCCACATGTTTCTATTGCAGCCTCCAAAGATGTTCAGCAAACCTGGCAGCTTCTCTGCTGCCACTTGTGTTGCTGATGACGCACGTTGAGGGGTGGCTCTGCTGTGCGGTACAGGTCAGGGACAGCAGCGCTTTGGTAGATCTGACGTAAAAATTATGATCACAGCGTTTGGAGCTCAGCTTGCACCTGTAATTAGAAAAACAGCGTAAGTCAAAGTGGAAAATACTAACATCAAAAATTCTGCTTTTTATTGGAGCTCAACTAAAAGAGCTGTTAATTGCCTACAAGATTAGTGAATCTTTAATAGCTTTTTTCACTCGGTTTAGTTTTGTCCTGAGGGCTGTGTGATATTGAACCACACATTATTAATTACCATGAAGACCTTCAAGCGATCTGTGAAGACGTCTTCACATTTACTCTGGTTCCTGTTTGACACATTCATGGAACATTAATTTCTTCTAGCCCTTTTTAACCCTTTTCCTGCAGCAAAGGAAGGATGGGAGGATGGGGTGGTTTGTAAGCATTATTTATTATTATTCTCACATATTCTAAAATTCAAATGAACACAGACCAAAAAGCGTAAAAATTGTTGAGGAAAATTTGATGTCAGTCTGTTTATCACTTCTGATAGGACTGAATGTAGAACAGAAGCTATGTTAAAATAAAATAAAATAAGAATTAAAAAAATCCTTCGTTTCCACGAGGTACATGAGATACCATTAACAGACTTAATGTTGTCCAGAAAGAAAGTCTTGGGACTATATGGCTTGACATACTTTCTAATAAGTCAGGAGTGGTATTAAATGGAACAAATTTTGCACTCTTGTTACTCAGAGGATCTGTCTCTAAATGATCAAGCAAGACGACATGCAGAAAAACTGTATGCCCTTCACGGCATCCTCTATCCCCTTTCAAGAACTGGTGCTTGACCATTCTCCCAGAATAACGTGAAAAGTAGTCAGTGTGCCCAACATAGGGTTTGGCTGGGGGGTGTAGGTGCGTTCTCACATGCAAACAGTGAATATCACTCTTTCAAGAGAAGATTTGAAATGGCATAAATTGCCAGCAGTTTCACCTTCCTTGGTAACGTAAGATAAAATGGTTTGTGTGTGAGGAGCTGAGAGGTGGCAGAGATGATCTCCTGATGATTTTCTGATGTGATTTTTCATGTATAACGTTAGGGCTTTTGGCCAAGAGGCAAGGCAGGGGGCTACGGCAGTAACCTCCCAAACTGCCAAGTGGGATTTGACAGGGCTTAGCTGGCAAATCTGCAGTGTCTACAGGAGGGTTTTCAGGCATGGTGGCATGGGTAGATTTCAGATTGAGCAAATTAGCTGACAAAATGGATTTTGAAGGTTGCTGTGTTACGCTGAGGGGACTTTGCCATGGACAAAGGAAGTGACAAATAGCTTTCCTTGAAAAGGATACCAGCCACAAGCTGTAAATCAGCCAGCAGGGAGGTAAAGCAAAGAGAGACTCATTTCTCTCCTGAGAGAATGAGTGTCGCATCAAGAAAGCCCATGTTTGATCATCCACAGGCCACTTGGAATCTAACGCTGGCACATAAAGCAGTTGTCAAGCTTTGTGGTTTCTTGGTTTGGGGTTGTTTTTCAATTCTGAAAAATTAAACCTCCTGCTGGCAAAGCCTGTCCTAGTGTGCACTCTGTCCATCAGCTCTTGTTATTCCACCAAAAGCCTGACGTTCACCTCTTCTTTCATGCTTTCTCCTTAGGTCAAAATAGCTGCAGCTGCCTTTTAGTCTTGGCTGTCAGACTGAGCTGAGCTGTTCTGCATCTTCTGTAGCACTGTGGGCTCTTT